ATCTAGCTTCCTAGGTATTTAAATAAAATATCTGATAATGTAAATAAATGAATAAAGAAGATATATATACACATACCTTTGAATCTCTCATTCAATATATTAAACAATCAAGAATATTAATAAAGAAAAATTAAACCACAACACATATAAAGCTCAAATAAAAGAGGTTTAATATATTACCACAATCATCTATGATAACCACTCTTGATCCCTTTTAATTTGGATTAATAAAAGAAAATTGTTAAATTGCAATATACAAAAAAAAGCGGTTAAATTTGTTGAGCGTCATGCTTATTGTGAATTTAGAAATTACAATTCTTTTTTTTTTTTAATACTGGTCATGCATTTGAATTCAATTCATACACTAACATTTTTATTATTAACAAAGGATTCAAAGAGTAATTCCATTTGAAATGTAAAATTGAAATAAAATAATATAAATTTCATCTCTTTTTTTTTTAGAAATCACTATGAAAATTTGCAGCTATTATATATAGGTGCATTATATACATATGAAGATGCCAAATTAACACCTGATCATTTTCCTACGAAAGAGGAAACACCATTCTTTCTTATTGGCATCAGGAAAAAGTCGATTTTTTTAATCTCATAGATATATCCACTTCTATAAATTTCATCTTATAACTATATATTATCATACAAATAAAAGTATGTAAATAATGTTATTTATAAAAAAATAAATAAGTAAAATATAAACTTCAATTACCATATTAAAAATATATTATGGTTGAAATGTGGAGAAAATCTTGCCATATAAAATAGTTGAACAAAACAACAAGAAATTTTTTTAGTTTCTCACTTTTTTCTCACAATTGATCATGTCTTGGAAGAATTTTTGTGCTCTTGTTATGGCAAGGGTATTCTTAATCAATTTCAACTCCTATGTTTATTCATCACAAATTAAAATTTTCTTAAGCTGTTGGAGAGATTAATTATATCAAGATCAACATTTACAAATCTTTAATAAATTAAACTTTCATTTACTACAATAATAAAAAGGGAATAACATAATCTATATACTACTATATTTAATCATAGATGAAATCTTTATGAATTTTTTACAATTTTATAGTATAGACGATTCTAATGCTAATACTATTCATAAAAAATCAATGTTATTTTTTTTCTATTTTTGTTTGCTTGATTCAATTGAGCAAAATTTCATTAAAAACAAAAAGAAATGAGATCTTTATGAAAATTTTACAGTATAGACGATTCTAATGCTAATAATATTCACAAAAAATCAATGTTATTTTTTTTCTATTTTTGTTTGCTTGATTTAATTGAGCAAAATTTCATTAAAAACAAAAAGTTGAGAAGAAAATTTTTCTTATTTCACGTCAATCAAATGTTCATTCTTCCTTCCTAAAATTCTTTTGCAAAATATTTGTTCTTGTTGGTTTGTCAAATTCCTGAAACTTCTCCTTGGTCATCTTTTCTATCACTCCAGTAGCAATTATTACGGTTTCTGTAGAAAAGAACACACAAAATTAAATTGATAGAAGTGAGATGAAGTGTTGAGATAATGAAAAAAAAAAAGTGTTGAGATAATAAAAAAACCTCAAATGAACCAAAAAAACAAAAATAGTAAATAAATTAAATATGAATCAGTATATGTTAAAAGGAAAAGTTGAAAGGAAAGAAAATGAAAACAGTAGTGTACCTACCTTGAAATATTTACTTGAACAAACAAACCTAAATAGGATATTTATATATTTTTCAATGCTCATTAATGACATAACCTTTTAAATAAAATAGAAGAGAAAGGGAGGAAAAGGCAATTAAGAGAATTAATGACGAATTAGAAACGACAAAAGCACTAAAGGAAAATAGCCTTAAATATTATGTAACAGTCATACAAATTAATCCTCATAATAAGTAATTAACTGAAATTAATATATGCAGCCGTTTATGGTTCTCCAAATACCATGAATATAGTGAATTTTAATCAGGAAAATAATTTTAAAAGCCAAAAAATTGACAATAAAGAAAATACTAATTCTGATCATTGAGATGTTCCACCTCAACTCTTCTATATTCAGCTTTATTATTATATATATATAGATTTGGTGTTAGGGTATGTCCAAATTATTTTTTCCTTAGTAAATTATATTATATATACAAGATTAAAATTATTTGTATAAATATGTAAATGTTAAATTTCTTTAGCTACTTG